CATAAGCGAATAGGGTGAGCCACCCTGTTCGCTTATGCTGAAATTTGGATTATACTGATGCTTATGTTGAAATGCTATGAGAGGAAAGCACTGTTTTATGGCTGAAAAGCAGCTCAAGCGAACAGGGTCCCATCAACTGCTACATCATATCTACTAGCCATTAGAGAGTCAGGGACAAGTACTTAACTAGTTGGTTACAACACAACACAAGCATGAATGAACGCTAGCTTCACAACTTGTAGTTGTCATAATAACAACATCATGATGATTGATGAGAAAAAAAGACATGCACGCTTGAAGTCGAGTTCTCTATCATGTATCAGCATATAAATAGATAACGAATTAATCCACCATTGGGATTGGCAGGGTCAGAAAATGCACATAATTAGGTCATCTTTCCCTTGCAAGGCCAGATTTATGGACCTAAATGTGCCTCCTAGGGGTTATAGACCTACGGTGCATGACTAAACAAGCTTAGGGGGGCAGATTACGATTTTGGAAGTTCATGGTGTAGAGCCACAAGTTTAAGAGGCGTCAATGTATTTAACTCCACTAGAAAAGACATTATAGAATAACTTTTATAGAGGTATTTGATCATTTGCCAAATGCATTGATATCTCTCCCAACTGATAGAACAACTCTCCTTTTATGGGATGGAGGGAGTAATTAAATCTATTCAAAGTTAGTACTCCCTCGGTCATGGTATATATTAGGCGTAACCATCTTAAAATCCAAGAAACATATTTAATTATTCTTAACACTAGTACTACTGCATGGACGTGTTTAGAGAATGCACGTCTTGCCTTACATATTAAGACGGAAGGTTGCCGTTTGTAGGGTCTTCCCAACAACTGATATGCCCTACTTCATTTCTGCTAGTGATTGGGAGAGCCAGGGACAAGTACTTAACTGGTTGGTTACAACACAATGAAACACAAGCATGAATGAACTCTTCAAAGCTAGCAGTTGCCATAATACCAACACCATGAATCCATGAACCATGATGAGGAAAAAAGATAGCATGCATTATGTATCAGAATATAAGCTGCAACTACATTGTCGGTGCGTGATGTCCCAACTCTCAACTGGTCTCCTGCTGCCTTTGTTGTGGTTGATAGTCGTGGCAGGCAACTCCAGCTGCATGCATGCGTGTCGTGTAGACGGACCCGGTCTGGAGTCTAGTCGCCGCGGAGGCGGAGCTCCCATTCACGGCACCCTGCGCCTGTGACGAAGATGCACCTTTGCTACCTGAGCTGACGACCTGCAGCTTTGCTCTGCACAGCACATTAGTATGGAGTATTGGCATCTTTTGCTTGGCTGCTCTAATAACATGATGACAGTTGACTGACCGACTGACAGTGACTATGATTTCCTTTCATGCACACATCAGCTCCTCCTGATGAGTCTTTTGACCCTTGACTCTTTGACTCTTGAGGAAAATAGAGTACAACCCATATTATTGTTTAAATACTGAATCGCTGGCTGATGTTTGTTCGCTTGGCTTATCAACCGTATTTTTTCAGCAAAAAAACAGTATTTTTCTCTAACAATAAATAAGCGAACAATATTTTTCAGCCTCGCTTTTCAGCAAAGCGAACAAGGCGCGCCACCTCTCTGTTCTGCTTTCCCATGGACAAGCGATTAGATTGCGAATTACACTTGGCCTCTTTTCTGATCCTTGAGACAGACGACTCCATACTAGCTAGTCCATGCATGCGACATGAGATGTCTGTCTCTGTTGGCCGGCACGCATCAGAGTATATTAGTAGAAAGAAAAGCCTTGACGCAGGTGAAAAACACTGGCTGATATCTGACTGAGATATTCTTGTGTTTCATACTACGCGCGTGTTTAGTTTCAGGAAATTAGAATTTGGGGCTATTGTAGCATTTTCGTTTTTATTTGACAGTTAGTGTTTAAACATGGACTAATTAGACTCAAAACGTTCGTCTCGTAATTTTCCACCAAACTGTGCAATTAGTTTTTTTTCGTCTACATTTAATGCTCCATTAACGGTAGACGCAAAAGAAAAATGTGAATTGCAGCATTTTTTTGGGATTTTGGGTTGGAACTAAACATGGGCTATATCAGAAACGTGTAGTACGGAATGAGCTAATTGCCAAATAAAAAAGCGTGTTTAGTTACCACCCAAAATCCCAAATTCATGGAACCCATCACATCAAATCTTGCGATACATGCATGGAGTATTAAATGTAGACGAAAAAAAACTAATTGCACAGTTTGGTTGGAAATTACGAGACGAACGTTTTGAGGCTAATTAGTCCATGATTGAACACTAATTACTAAATAAAAACGAAAGTGCTACAGTAGCCCAAATTCCAAACTTCCCACACTAAACACGGCGTTAATGTTGTAGAGGCCAGTGCATTCACATGTTTCAGGAAGAAATGAAAGATCATGCATCAAGGCCTGTAATTCCCTAGCATTTTGCTGCTGCTGTAACTATTACGTATGTCACATGGCAGGACAGAACTTGAAACAGGTTTATTAATTACGTATTACAGAGCGAGGCTAGGGCCTTGTTTAGATTGAAGATTTTTTCAACCCGATGAATAGTAGCACTTTCGTCTTATTTGGTAAATATTGTCTAATCGTGGACCAACTAGGCTCAAAAGATTCATCTCGTGATTTTCAACTAAACTGTGTAATTAGTTTTTTTTTTTACCTATATTTAATACTCCATGCAAGCGTCCAAAAATTGATGTGATGGAGAGAGAGTGAAAAAACTTGGAATTTTGATGTAAACTAAACAAGGCCTAGACATCCGAATGAATGAAACCCAAAGGGTGGATTGCCAGAAAAGGCATGATCAGATCTGCCGTGCATTGGATTGCATCCCAACCCTTACCCGGCCGGCCGGGGTCCCCAACAGAAGAGGGAAGGGACCATTGCATGCATTGCAAATTAAAGGCATTGAAAGAGCTGCGGCTAACTAGACAGGCCTTCAACTCCTTAATTCCAGACACTTCAAGTTCTCGCACTTTGCCTGATTGTTTTCTCACTCTCCCTCAAGAAATATAATAAAGATCATATACGATTACCTCTTTGTTCGGTGAGCAACTTCTTCTTCATAATAGTGGGATAATTAACAAAATTATCCCGGCCTCTGGAGTCTTGACCTGAGAAGAAGACTGAAGCAATTTTGTTTACTCGTGCATATACTACTAGTTTACATGGAATGAATGAATATATACCGGTCACCTACTTTGCGCATGGGCGCCAGTGGTGGACCCAGGATTTGAGACCAGGATAGTCCTAATAAAAAAATTTCATGTGTAATACTATAAAATTCAAATAAAAAGTTTAGCAAACATAGCTATAAATTAACCAAATTACGATAATACATTTAAAAGGTTCGAAACTTACATAAATACTCCCTCCATACCGGTAAAGAAAGCCGTTTAAGATGTGATTTAGCATACCAAGGAGTGATTAATTAAGGGGTATTTTTCCCTATTTTTCCTTATTAAATAGGGTTGCGGGTATCACTTATCCAACAAACTTTCGTAGCTGGACTGGTAAGCGCGCTGCAGCCCGAGGCAGGAGGTCTCCGGTTTGATCCCTCTCAGGCGCGTTATTTTTTTTGAAGAGCTCGTGGATTTGAGGTGTATTCGGCCTGGGCTGAGACGAGAGTGACTATGGGCGGTTTCTGAAGAGTAATAATAGAATTTTGGACCAAATTTATGGGTAGTCCTAGGCCTGCCTGGACTACTCACTGGGTCCGCCACTGCGCATGGCTCACCAGCAAATCAATAAAATTCAAAGAGTGGTGGCATGGCATTCTTCTAGTTTTTATTAGCTTACTGAACATGTCCTGTACGTAGTGAATTTCTCAGACAGAATTCAGAAACCCTTTGGATCACGCATCCTGACGAACTAACTATATATCCACGTAATACGAGTACGTATAGATAAGGGGGAAGGAACGAAATGCATTCCGGTGGTTAGGAAAGGATTTAGCTACCTAGAAGTTGTGACCTAGTGAAGCCAACGATGCGCAAACAAATACTCGAGTAATTGTCAAACGACTGGCGGAGAAGACAGAACATTTGTCAAACGATATGATGGTCCAATATAGCTTGCCTTCTTTTCTCACCTGCTTTATTACTATTTACCTATTGGGTTGGAAACATCCATCCGTTCCTTCCTGTGTACACTGCATGATGATAATCATGCATGTCACGGCTGTATCAGCATTCAGATTTCAGATGTCAAAGCACCTGGCCGCCTAGGGATTTCTTTCTTCTGAATATCATATATGACAGCAATGCAAGCTTGATTCGTTTATTAGGCCGGTTGTTCATTGTTCCCACACATTTAAGATCGACGAATTATGCATGGTAGGAGTATATCTTAATTATATACTACTATATATACAAATAGTGCAGTGAAGATTAACTTTAGGGGTGTCACATCGGGTGTCGTATAGGAGTTTTTGGATAGTAATAATAAAACAAATTACAGAAGTCCTCGGTAATCCGCGAGACGAATTTATTAAGCCTAATTAATCCGTCATTAGCACATGTTACTGTAGCGTCACCTTGTCAAATCATGGCCTAATTAGACTTAAAAAATTCGTCTCATAAATTAGTTACAATCTATATAATTAGTTATTTTTTTAGTCTATATTGCCTAAACTCCTCGTCTAGGTGCATTGTGTTGTCCCTTGCAAATAAAGTCCATGTTGCCATTGCCCAATGCCCATTCGCTAGTTATAGATTACGTATACTCAACCCTCCAAGACGACTTGCACTGCTTTTGGTGGGCGGCTTGTGAGCCATAAATACCCACATCAGGACCCTCTTTTGGTGCGCGCGGTTCCTCTCATCAGTCACCACATAAACTTTCTCTAGCACCAAGCTAGCAGCACTCTAGCGTGTCTTTCTCCCTCCCTGCTTTTTTCTCTCTCGGATCTCTCTCTCTCTCTCTGTGTCTCTCTCTCTCATACACAAACACAGGAACACACACAGATTGAAGAAAGATGGTTGGAACAATGGAGGAAACAAGCAGGATCCCTGGGTACTTCAAGAACAAGGGCATCCTCATCACTGGCGCAACAGGCTTCCTTGGAAAGAGTAAGCAAGCATGCATAAGCATGCATGTCTCTCTTGCTTGTCTTTCATGCATGCATGCATGCACTGTGCTCACCTTACTTCACTTCCCCTGTCCTGGTGGTGCTCTCTCTGCCGTCATGCGTTGCTGCAGTACTCGTGGAGAAGATACTGAGGGTCCAGCCGGACGTCAAGAGGATCTACCTCCCCGTGCGTGCGCCGGATGCAGAATCGGCCAAGAAACGGGTGGAGACTGAGGTAATGACTTACTTCGTGATGCACTTCTATATCCACAGCATGATCTCTGATACTTTCTTCTGTAGTTCTGTTCTGAGTTACTAATAATATCTCTCTATTTGGGGTTCTCTTCTTCACTTATTTTCAAGTAACCACGCACTGATTAATAATCAAAGTAGTGGTTCATGTTGCCAAGAACCTCAAACATTCTTCAGATAAAAATAGCAGATCTGCAAGGTGCCCCCACGTCTTGGTGTGTGCATTTGTCGTTTATTTTCTTGTTTAATTTATTTATGTGGTACAAAAAAATAAGGTACGAGTATGCATGTGGTACAAGCTAGCAATATAGGAGTAAAAAGTACTACTCCAGACGTATGTAGTACAAGATAATTGGTACACTTGTGGCGATGTGGGTACTTGTGGATATGCATGCAGCTTTGTCATGTTGGTACTCCGATAGCGCCATCTATACATCGTAATCCACCACTGAAGTTCTAATCATATCCTAGAACAGCTACTGGTGAAGCAAACACATATTTAGGTCACCTAAAAATTTCAGAATTTTTTGAAAGAGAAAACACACTACTGAACATATGGTAGTATGTGTGTAGCACAATCACAACATGTGGCGTAAAAAGATGAGCAAAGCATCACTGCTAAAAGTCAGAACAAACTACTGACAATCAATCATTATTTATGCTGCTGTACGTTGTTGCTAGTGAAGGCTTTCTTCGGATCGGATCAGTTGCATCACATAATAGACATAATAGGTGCAGATTAATTACATACTATCTTTAAAAGTGATCATCAGGATTTCAAATTGTTGGCATGCATGCCAAGCAAACTACTCCAATCCTTGAGAACAGTCCATCCAATTCCGTATTCCGATGACTATTGATAAGAGTATCAAAGTTAATTAGATGATCCGTATTAGGCTGCCAATTCTGATGACAGCTATTATGATGCTGAAATCAAAGTTAGATCCATATTAGGCTGCCCTGCCCAACTCTAATATTCCTTATTCAGGAAATGAATTAGCCTAGCTAGAAACTGCAATCAAGAGCATGGAGCAAGTTACAGTAGCACAAGAAAGATCAGCAGCCAGGGCCCCTTGAGTGCAGCAGCTTTAGATTTGGGTCCGTTCGATTTATGCTGAAAAAAAGTTTTTGCTAGTGAAGGTTCGATTCGGATCGGATTAAAAAAACAAGATAAAATATTGTTTCAGATTAATTACATACTATCTTTAAAAGTGACTATTCAGGAAAAAAAAATTGTGGGCCTTGTTTGTTTGAAAATTTTTTCAACTTGAGAACAGTCCATCCAATTCCGTATTCCCACTATTGATAAGAGTATCAAAGTTATTTGATGATCCGTAATAGGCTGCCAATCTGATGACAGCCAATGCTGAAATCAAAGTTAGATTCATATTAAAGATTCAACTCTAATATTCCTGATTTCCAAATGAATTAGTGTAATTAGTTTTTTTGCAATCAACATTTAATAAGTTCCATAGCACAAGAAAGATCAGCAGCCAAAAATTGATTTAGATTTGGGAGAGAGTGAAAAAATAAAATGAAATACTGTTTTTGAAGGAAACTAAACAAGGCCCTGATAAGAAGAGAAACAAACGGCTTCGAATCGGAGAGCCAAGGAGCCATTGCAGCTGCAGCAGGAACTGCAGCACGTTACAGTATTCTAGTACTAGTTATGGCGATAATAGAGTGGGCTGGTGGTAGGTTTGGTCAGGAGCAACGAGTAATTGCATGCCTCGGCACTTGTAGTGCATGCACGCCCGATTCAATGTGCAGCGACATGCGCCGCCTACTGCGCCTACTCCTTGATGCGTGCTTGCTGGGAAAACTGTGTGCTGGCCCTGGCCTTCTGGGGAACCCAAGCTCATCCTGCTAGCTACTATTGCATCATCTGACAGCCTGTAAGGGCTAGTGCTGATACAATCGTACGATCATAAATTATTATTCTTGACTAATTTGGTGTGAGAAAAAATATTATTCTATCTTATAATTCACGATCGATTTACGATCAAACGAACAAGTTGTGAATTCTTGTAAAAACTAAGCAGCCACAGCTGCAAATGCAGCCGATCAGGACATCCTCTCTTTTCCCTTCAATTTGGCCAAATGTCCTTTGCAATATTTCTCATAAGTTGCTCCACATATATTGTAGAACTGCATGTGCTGTTTATTTCCTTTTCTTTTTACATGGGATAGATGTAATTTCTCGGTCTCAAATTAAATTAACTTTTAGAGTTATCCTAAGTCAAACTATTTTAAATTTGATCAACTTTATAAACAAGAGCACAGATAATTATGACACCAAATTAATATTCGCTGGATACACTATAAAATATATTTTTATAATATATTTATTTGGTGTCGTAGATATTATTACCCTTTCATATAGAGTTGGTCAAACTCAAGATGGTTTGACTAGAAATTAATTTATTTTGAGACGGAGATAGTATGTATTATCACTCCAATTAAGGGCAATTGTGTTAGGCCAATCCCAATGAGAGTTTTATGGGTATTAAATATGCTGACATGTCAGTGTATTGATGAAAAAGAGATGATGAAATTTTCGTAGGAGTAGATGGTGAAAGTTTCATAGGAGTAGAGATAGGCAGTGTTTGGCTGGTATGAAAAAAACTGTTCATGCTGAAAAATATGTAGAGATAGGCAGTGTTCGGCTGGTATGAAAAAAACTATTCATGCTGAAAAATATTGTTCATGCTGCTTCGTTGTGAGAGAAAAACAGTGTCCCGGCTGAAAAAAAACAAGCCGAACGAGCCTGCTTCTTGCTCAGCCGAACACAATCTTCTGCGCTGTTTTTAAAATACTGTATTCAAAATACGAGTGCTTTTGAAACAAGTCATAAACACTGGCCTTATAAACCCCCGTCGTGGTAGAACAGTGTTGTAACCATAAAAGGAACTGTTGTGTGTCCAGAAAGAACCAAGGCAAGGTCCCAACGCAAGGGGTCCCTAGGTAGCGGCCAAAGTTGAATGCTCGATTAGGCCTTGTTGAGATTGAAAAAAAATTCAACCGATGAATAGTAGCACTTTCGTCTTATTTGGTAAATATTGTCCAATCGTGGATCAACTAAGCTCAAAAGATTCATCTCGTGATTTCCAACTAAGCTGTGCAATTTTATTTTTTACTACATTTAACGCTCCATACAAAGCGGCTAAAATTGATGTGATGGAGAGAGATGGCCTTTAAATTCTAAACAAGGCCTTAGTCTCGGTGGTCCATGTACTGTACACAAACTTAAGGCACTGGCAATTTTCAGCTTTTGACGTTTCACGTATTGGTCTGTTCGGTAGGACTGAAAAATACTGTTCCGATTGATTATTATGAGAGAAAAATATTATTCTGACAAGACGTGAACAGTGATTTCGTAAAAGCGAGAACCAGCCAGCCGGCTTAAAGCCAGCCGAACGGGCTCCTAGATGGCCATTAAATTTGCAGCTGATAGCACAACGAGTGCTGCTACGGTGCCGGAGCCGCAACCGCATGGAGTCGTACCAAACGGCCCCACCGTACCGTGACACGTCTTGTAGAGCTTAATCAGAATAAAACCTGCTGGCATAGTTAACAACACAAAAAATGATGTGATAGTCTTTGTAATTGTGCTATGAAACTCTACATTAAAACTAGCCTATGCTAATGTGATTGGCATGGTGCATGCACATGCAGGTGATCGGGAAGGAGCTGTTTGGGCTTCTCCGGGAGACGCATGGCAAGGGGTTCCAGTCCTTCATCGAGGAGAAGGTCGTCCCGTTGGCCGGAGACATCATCCACGAGAACCTGGGCGTGGAGGGGCCCCAGCTGAGCCAGATGACTCAGGAGCTCAACGTCATCGTCAATGGAGCTGCCACAACAAACTTCTACGAGAGGTACGTATTTGTTCTGAAAATACTACTTACCCGATACGTACGTATATACGGTGTTCTTTCATATGCAGAACTGGGTGGTCAATGCTCTGTTCTGACTGACGCTCCTGCATTGCAACTTCAATGGCACCTGAAGTCGATCTGCGTGTCCGCAGGTACGACGTGGCCCTGGATGTGAACGTGATGGGAGTGAAGCATATCTGTCAGTTGGCCAAGCAGTGCCCCAATCTCGAGGTCGTGCTCCATGTCTCCACGGGTAAGGGGGTGCTTGAATGCAGGGAACTCGATTACTACTGTGCTAATTTGCCGATGATCGATTGAAGAAAAGAAACTGAAACTGCAATCGGCCATGGCAGCCTATGTGGTGGGCGAGAAGCAGGGGGTGATCCTGGAGCGGGCGTTCAAGCAGGGCGAGACGCTGCGGGAGACGGAGGCGGAGCTGGACATCCACGCGGAGCTGCGGCTGGCCAGGGACTACCAGCGGCAGGTCGCCGGCGACGACGCGGAGCAGAAGAACGAGCGGAAGGCCATGAAGGAGCTGGGCCTCGCCAGGGCCCGGGAGTTCGGCTGGCCCAACACCTACGTCTTCACCAAGGCGCTCGGGGAGATGATGCTGGCGCGGGAGCTCGCCGGCGGCGTCCCCGGCGTGATCGTGCGGCCCAGCATCATCACCAGCATCCAGAAGGAGCCGCTGCCCGGGTGGGTCGAAGGCACCAGGACCATCGACGCCATCCTCATCGGCTACGCCAAGCAGAGCCTCTCCTGCTTCCTGGCCGACCTCCAGCTCACCATGGACGTGGTTGGTAACTAACTGCTGCTTGCTTGCTGCTCATCAACTACTGCTTCTGCTTGTATTAAAAGTACTCCTATAGATAGGATAGATCACACACTTGCGATCAGCACATTTAAGTCACTGCACCAACCAACTAATAAATGGCCGCACCGCAGATCCCCGGGGACATGGTGGTGAACGCGATGATGGCCGCGACGGTGGCGCACGCGTCGTCGTCGGCCCCGGCCGACCAGCAGAAGACGACGACGACGCCGACGGTGTACCACGCGACGTCTTCCCTCCGGAACCCTGCGCCGTACGCGGTGCTGTACCGGACGGGGCTGCGGTACTTCAGCGACCACCCGCGCGTGGGCAAGGATGGCCGCCCCGTGCGCACCCGCAAGGTGCACTTCTTCGGCACCGTGGCCGGGTTCACCGCCTACATGGTGCTCCGCTACAGGCTGCCGCTGGAGCTGCTGCGCCTGCTCAGCCTGCTCTGCTGCGGCCTCCTCTTCTCGCGCCTCTACGCCGACCTGGACCGCAAGTACAGGTTCGTCATGCGCCTCGTCGACCTCTATGGGCCCTTCGCGCTCTTCAGGGGCATCTTCGACGACGCCAACGTGGAGAGGCTCAGGATGGCCATGCCCGTCGCCGACCGGGTGGAGTTCAACTTCGACCCCAAGACCGTCGACTGGGACGACTACTTCTACAAGATCCACATCCCAGGGGTCATGAAGTACGTGCTCAACTAGCTAGCATGCAGTGGTCACCAAGTGCATTGCACTTCATTGCACGCACCCAATCGTCGTATGTACTACCTCTACATGTACACCACCAGATCATGATCATTGGTCATCCATCCGGATTATATATTATTGATTAAATACATCGGCGACGGCGTGCGTGTGTATATACACATTGTTATTGTTATTATTGTTACTACGTTCATCGTCCCAACCATCCTCTATTCCTCACTAACCATGAGGACAAATCAATTTTATTGCACGCTCTGCTGCGGTCTATCTGTAGCTGAACTGTTCATCTAATCAATTTTTTCTCACGTTCTTTCCCCTCTCACTGACACAACCGGAGCTCAGAAGCTAGTATTTTTTTTTTGCCCCTCGACTCCAGCACTGCATGCTACAGTATGGGAGCCGGAGCTGGCGGGAGCCCGACCAAACGCCCCTTAGAAGTTGTGTTTGTGGTGTGGTGTGTGATTTTGTTGTTATTTTTTATGTTGTTCTACCTAATCTGAGTTTTCTCTTTATTAATAAAATTAGCAGTTCTCTTGATTCATTTCAAAAAAAATAAAGATCTTATAAAAATGCCCCAGTATTTTTTTATGCAAAAATGTCCCAGTATTTTTGGGTTGGAATTGTGTGTCAGACCGTTTTGTGCTTGGAGCCTGGACCGCTACAGCGTGGTCGCACAGTAGAAGACGTCAAAACTGAAAGAGGCCCAGCACAGACTTCCTAGCTTTTCACACGTTCTACTCGTAGTCGGAGGATTGCGAGCCCTGTTTCTGTTTTGTCTGCCACCGCCGTCCGAATTTTCTGTTTTTAGCCTTTTTTTTGAATTTTTTTCATAAATAAGTTTGGGGGTATGATTTTAAAATCTGGACTCTTAGTTCGGCGCCACTTATACGTCTCGGCGCCATAGATTTTGACGCCTAGGTCTTACGCTCGACACGGACGTGACGGTGACTTGGCAGCCAGCTTGGCGCCGCATATCCTGGCGTCGAGCTTGGCGCCATAGATCTTGGCGTCGAAATCAGCGCAGTAGATCTTGGCGTCGAGCTTGGCGCCGTGGTAATTGGCGCCAAGCCCTGTCTTACGTATGGGCCCTCCTTTCCTTTCTCTCTTCCTCTCTCTCTACCGCTCCCCGAACTAGCGTCGCCGCCGCCGCACGTAGCCCCGGCCGCTCGCGCCCACGCCCGCGCCGGCCACCGCGCCGCCCCTCCCGGCCCACGCCGCCTCGTCCATCCTGGCTCACCGTGTCCGCCGCGCGCATAGGCGCTCCCTCCGGCGACCCTGGCCACGACACGACCCCGGCTGCCAGTGCGCCGCGACCTCGCCGTCGATCCCATCCTCCGCGTCCGCGTCGCATTGACTTGGACAGGTAAAAATTTTGAATATGCAATGTAGGTACTTAGTTAGCTTGAATTATAGTGCTACTTTGATTATTTGGTAATTTTAGTAAATTTGATGATGTAGGTAGTTGATTTAGTTAGTGAGATAGATATAATTAGATAAATATAGTTAGATAGCTAGTGACATAGGTACATAGATATAGTTATTAGATAGCTAGTTGATTTAGTTAGTGAGATAAATATAGTTAGATAGCTAGTGACATAGTTATTTATGGTGTAGTTGGTTTGTATCTATTTGAGAGGTACTATATAACATCTACTTTGAACTAAACGAATTGTATTTTAATTTTTGTTTGAACTACTAGATGGACAATCTAGTGAGCATATATCATGGAGACACCGTGGAAAGAGATCGCTATGGATATATTGAGTTTGTTGAGATACAAAGCGTGCCTGTGTTATTCAATGAGAAGCCATCGTTTAGTGAGTTGGTTGCAAGGGATCGGGAGGAGCTACATTGCCATGGGGTTGCTGATGATGATGGCATCGTAGTGGAGGGTGTACTTCACCTAGGTTCCCCTCCCAACATCTTTAAGAAGATGATTCTAATTGGGTGTGCAGACTAGTGGGAGAACTATGTGAGATCGGCAATAAAGTGCCAGTTTCAAAGTTTGGACGTGGTTGTGCGTCAGGTATTAGTTGATCCCATCCCTTATGGGTTTTTCCCACCAATGGGTCAGCAGACACACTTTGACCCTCCGTCCGGGACCGATATGGATGTAGAGGTTGCACCTACGGTTCCCGATGCTCAATCTGCCCCCAATATGCTAGTTGGAGATGCTTGTCAGACTCATGATGTTGTGGCAGATCCTCCTCATGAGATCCCTTTGACATAGAATCATCCGAGTAGGTGTCTTATCCGCATGGTTATTGGGAGCTTACCCCATTCCTTACATCCAATTTTTAATTCTTTTCTCATTTTTCTATTTATGTTGCAGTAGAAATTCCTGACAATGTAGATGTGCCCACTGTTGATGCGCAAGTGCTCTATGGAGATGGATTCCGTGGCTCCAATAGTATTGAAATTATGAATGATTTGGAGCCATATGAGATGGTAAGGGCTCTTATTCTGATGATGATCGTCCTATTGGAGAGTTGACAGAGAGTGATGTTGAGATGCTGAGGCGTATCTTTCCCGGCCACCGTGATCCAAGAGTTCACGAGTTCAGCGATCTTGCACATTTCGATCAGGTGTGTGCAGAAGGACGTGATGATGAGCTCCTAGAAGCTCCTGAGGCCGGTCCTACCATGGTAATTGAGAACGGGAGGGTTTTCAAGGACCTCCCTGTATTGAAGAGGTTGTTGCAGGCATTTGCAGAGATACGAAAGAGGCCTTACAAGGTCTTGCATTCATATGCGGAGCGCCGTTACACAGTTGTGTGTGACAAGGAACGATGCCTATGGAGGATTTGTGCAAGGAAGCAAAAGGTCACCGGAAAGTAGAAGATCACAAAAGTTGTCGGGCCACACAATTGTGCTGACCATGTGCTGACACTGAAGCATCGGCAATTGACATCTAACCTCATTGCCAAGCGGTTGATGGGAATATTGCAGGGAGAACCCAACATGAAGGTTAGGAAAACTATCAGGACCGTTGAGGCGTTGTATGGAGGTTATGTGATAACTTATAGTAAAGCTTGGAGGGCTAAGCAGCGAGCGTGAAACATGATATATGGGGACTGGGAGGATGGGTATGAGCAGCTGCCAATACTTTTCAATGCAATCAAAGCGGTGAATCCAGGCATGCATTATGAGTACATTCCAAAACCAAATACATGGAAGGATGGGAGGTAGATATTCTTTCGTGCTTTCTAGTGCTTCCCTCAGTGTGTCGAGGCCTTTAGGCACTGTCGTCCCATCTTCTCCATTGATGGTACGTTCTTGATTGGCAAATACCAGGGCACACTTCTTATAGCTATATCCTGTGATGCGAACAACAAGTTGGTTCCTTTGGCATTTGCTTTAGTTGAGAAGGAAAACAATGACAGTTGGGGATAGTTCTTGAGGCTAGTCCGAATACATGTGGTTGGGCCTGGTAGGGAAGTTGGCGTCATATCTGATAGGCACTAGGGCATACTTAATGCCGTGCGAGAGCAGATAGAGGGGTATGCACCTTTGCACCATCGTTGGTGTACTCGGCACCTTGCCGAGAATCTACTTCGGAAGGATGGTGTGAAGGATAACTTTGATGTGTTCTAGGAGGCTGCTCGACAGCTTGAGGACAAGTACTTTCAGAAAAAGTCAGAGCAGGTCAGAACCGCATCAAATGCAGAAGGTAGACAATGGCTCACAGGTTTGATGAGGGATTTGGAGAAATGGACAAGAGCTCACGACGCCAGTGGATGGAGGTACGAGTTTTAGTGCAGCAACATGGCGGAGTCATTCAATAAGTTGCTATTGGGGATACGTGGTATGCCCGTGAATGCAATCGTTCAATTTACCTTTTACAAGCTTGTTGCCTGGTTCAGCGATAGACATGCCCATGCATTGAAGTTGTGGAGTGATGGAGAGATATGGGCTCTGAAACCAAAGGCACACCTAGAGAAGGCAAATGAAAGGACTGGCACACATGAGGTTACATGTTTTGACCACACCACATGGGCTTATCAGGTCGAGCATAGGGACGGTACAACGTCCAACGGTGAGGTTCGAGAGTCGAGGATGCATGGGGTAATCCTCCAATATTTCACATGCACTTGTGGTAAACCAAGGCAGTACCACTTTCTATGTTCCCATTTGATGGCAGCAGCTAGGTATCGCAACTATAATATCAAGAGCAGGATACCTCATGAGTTCAGTGTCGACACGCTTGTGCACACATGGAGCCCCCACTTCGTGCCTTTCTAGGACCTTAGAGAGTGGCCTCCATATCATGGGCCAAAATACATTGCGGATCCAGCTTACCATTGGAACAAGCGTGGATCAAGGAAGAGGACGAGGCACATGATAGTTACGGATCAGATACCGTAACAATGAGGCGTGGGAGAGGAACCCCATTTCTTACTGACCCCGAGCAGTACGAGTACGGCAAGTGTGGTAGACTGGGCCATAATTCATGCACTTTCCATTGGTAGATTAGTGAGGTGCGACTATTGGTTGTTTTCATTATTTCATATTTGTCATATTCATTCAATTAATTATGCATGTCTTAATTTATGCTTGTAATTGTGTCAATTACTTATACATTTCTAAGTTTATGTTTCATTGTATATTGAATTTCTATTTCATTGACTTTTTTCATAGGATGGTGTAATAACACCTACTCAACCCCGACGTACGAGGAGACCCACCGAGGACGTCTCATAGCGGAGGGGCAGGTAATAATCTATACATTTTTTTTAAATTTTTGTGAGCATACATGCGTTCATGAAGTAATGGGAGACTATATTTTATTCCATGCAGGACCTTCCGCTCCTTCGTCCTAGAACCCACAATGGATTTTTGGACATGCAGTACGACAACAGGTACACTCCTTTCCTACAAAGAGCTGGCCTAGATGTCATCTCTTTTCAGGTTCGTCGTGGGTTGCCCAAGTTCAACTCAGCGGCCATAACTGTGTTGGTTGATAGGTATTATCTTCAATCATTGCCTCCATTGATGGCC